ATCCAGCCATATTAAAAACGTCGTATGAGGATTAAATGCCCGTGAACATTCTGTCTGATCTGTGAATGTAATGTGCTGAGGGTTGCATATACAAGATAGGGGGAATCTTTGAAATTTTAGAATGGGGGAAAAATGTTTTTCCCTTCAAATGCTGATAAGTTAAATAAATGTGATGGAGACAGAATAAGCATTTGTATAAACAGCATGGTTTATCTGTTTTGTTATGTTACATGTTAACTTTTCTGTCTTCCAAAATTGTATGGATGTGCTGGTTGTTATGCTAGATACTTTTTCATTCTTTTATAACAAGACAAAATTTTGCCACCTGGTGAAGAAATACCAAAGTAATGAATGAACTGATGAAACAGGTTTGCTACTCTCCGTGTACATTATTTGTGATATTGATGTTACAAAGTATGATATCTTTTTGCCACGACATGTTCTTTCTTTTTTCTTCTTCTTATTCTTGCTCTTCTTTAAGTGCTTCGGACAGTTTATTCTAATCTCTGTCACTTTTTTATTGCACAAAAGGATTCTCAGTTTGGACAGGTTGAATCTTGTTTATTGATACTAGTTTAATTCCTGCCACAGTCATTTCCTTTATCATTAGATGAGTACATACAGGTTTCATAGAACCTAGAATTTAGTATCGAAACTCATGATTTACAGAATGATTTCATAGAAATGTGTGAACCCTTCCTAGAGCATAGAATGAAGGCAGAATGGGCTAGGAGTGGAGTTCCCCCTCATACCTAGCCACTTTGAGTCATGATTTAGTTCTTTTTCTGTGAGGTATTGTTCTCTAATCTCTTCAATACATTTATGACAAGTTAACCGAGAAGTTAACAGATTTTAATTTTATTAAGATTCACTTTTTTACATGAAATTTGTATCGTAATTCTCATTAAACTAGGTTAGAATTCAGGTTGTCACTGTCGAGAGTATGAAGGCAGTTGTCTTCTGGGAATTTGCAGTACAAAATCTGGTAGAAATTTACTGACGTTTTGGAGGCGTTTACTGTCTCCAGCATCTGGGCAATCATTGTCGTGATAATGAGGCAGTAAACACCTCTGAAAAATCAGTTAATTTTCGACCAGACTACGTGGCACATCTGAGAAGGAACCATCTTCATTGTGACTTCTCACAAAGCAAACTTTTGTTAGTTTAACACAGATGATTTTATTTTTAGTTGACACGTGGAAGAATGTTTTGTAATTAAATATAACCCATAGAAAATTATTTTTTTATTGATGAGAAACTTGGATGTGTTTCAACAGATAGCACTTTTTGGATGTATGATGACTATGCATGATACAGATTGCCAGCTGTGTCATTTGTTCAGATGCAGAGACTTAATTGTCACATCTCAGAAAACATTTAGTAATGTGGTTGACTTTTGTGTAACCTTGATTCTTTATTGTACATAAAACTTTGTAGTAATGCTGCAAGTAGTTCTTATGTTGTTGTTTGTCAAAATGTCAAAACTGGCTGTTGAATTTCTGTATTCGAGGCCAGGGGTGGCTAGGCCGTCTTGTTCACCCTTAGTGATTGAAATTAACTTTCAAAGGGTAAGAGTGGAACTTCATTTTTTATGTAACTGCTAATCTGCACACTTCAGCATGCTCACAGAGAGGCACAAGGGTCGAGAGGAGCATAATATGAAATTGAAACGTTCTCACGAAGTGGGGAATGTACTATTTCTGTTTAATGGTGCTTTGAAATTCCACTTTTATTGCAGGATGTGATGTCAGTCACGTTCAAAATAAGCTGAAATGCAATGTTACATGACTTGTACCAGCATTTCAAATGCAATGCAGGTCTCAGGATCAGATCCCTTAGATCTAAATATTTTGTAGCAATTCTGTATACTTTTTAAAAAATTTTGTAATCTTCTTTCATACTGAGACATTAACAAAGCGTGTTCAAAAGAGTAAGAGGTCCAATTGTTAGCTCAGTACATTTGAAAAGAAAATGTTTGTGAGAGAAAATGAGTGCCAATTTTATGGATTTATTTTTCCATCATTTGACTCAAGTGGTTTATTTGTTGTACTACAATTTGATGTACATGTTACCATAATTTTATGTTCAAACTGAATTGATGCAAATGCTCCCTCTTATTTGTAATATTACATACATGTAGTTCCAAAATTGGCAAGAAATGTGAAGATAGTCGGGTTTATTTTTGGATAGTATACTGGTAATATTGAGAAGTTTTCTATATTGATATTGTACTATAAACCATTTGGTGTGATGCTATAGTGAATGTAGCCATGCATATTTATGTATGATGGATGTGCAGGTCCTTGTTTTGATACCAGTCACAGAAATTATGCTTATCCAGTTCAAGGTGCCATAAATAAATCAGTGTATAAAACTTTCTTTTTATTAATCACTTTGGTGTTAAGTTGAGAAATTTATCTAGTCAGAAGAATAATTTATAGTTTTCAGAATAATTGCATAGTGGATATGACAAAACTATCGTACGGGTATAACTACATCTTCATCTGGCAAGACGTTATCTTTTCACTGTAGGTGAAACTAGCTAACTGTACACAAATGGGATGACATCCTGCCATCAGAATACAAAGACAAATTAAAAGTTACATGACATTATACTTTCAAGTTATTTGTAGGTAAAGTATTGCTTATTCTGATGGAATTGTTCAGTGATGGACACAGGATTTTCACATGATACGTTGTCATAAGGAAGTTTCTCTGAATGTAAAAATCGTAAGTGTAATAGAGTTTTAAGAAGAAACTGCGCCAGTTAATTTAGATTCAAGAACATAATTTTGTATCCTCTTTGTCTTAAGAAAATTATGCTAAGTTTTGGTGTGAAATCAATACAGATTAAATGGTCCAGATATTATAAAACTGTAAAATAACATTTAGGTAACCTTATTATTTTGGCTAAATTATGCACATTGCTGTGAAAAATATATGACGAACAAACAGAATCAATACAGAGCACATGCTTTAGCATCAGTATGTCCTGGTACAACACGCAGTTTACCCTCAAACTGAACCATGCCCAGCCTGTAACATGGTGCTAAAATAGCGGACTACTGTTTCATAAAAACTGCCCAACTGTATTACTGTTGAAGAAATTTTGCAATTTTTATTTGTGATGTCGTCATGGATTTGTTGTAATATTGCATAACCAAGCTCTGCTGTCACTCCTTTCCAGTTATATTATAATAGCAGGAAGCAATCTGTTAGTATTAGAAACGTAATGCGGTCATAGGTAGTGTCCGTGCTATTAGGTGGCATGTTTCCTTTTTTTATATAATGCATAGTTCTTAATTTTCCACTTTTTTTTTCCCTCCCCCCACACACATCAGAAAAGCTGGTGATGGCATTTTATCCCATTGGATTGAGACATTGTTTACACAACTGTAAAACTAATTTTTATGTGCCAATATATACAAAGACTTTTGTTGACTGCTCAAACAGTGTATCTGCAAGCAATAATAATTGGAATCTCTTGCCAGCCACGACTGGTATCATTATAAAGGCCTTGTTTAGTTTTGTTAATTTCACATCTTATGTGATATGTTTAAAAAAATGTGACATCCCTGTAACAAATCATTATATGTTTAAAAATGTTCTTGTACAATATATTTTGTGTCAAGTTGCACTGTCTCGATAAAGATTTCATCACGAGTGTTTGGTGAATCGGCAGCATTTGTGTTATGGGTATGAGAAAGCACAATAACAATGCAGTCTCATGCGTATTTCTATTTTAAAATTAGTGAATTAAGAACTTTTATATATAAGATGATTTTCTTTGCATTTTATTGTCAGTGACACATTTCCTCAAACATTTGTTTGTAGGTGAATTGAGGTTAAGTGATGGCAAGCTTTTTGAACGTTATGTACATGTTGATTCACATTTGTGTGTGAGACAAACTCAAAGAGCAGTAAACTGAATTATATTGCTCTGAGGATTCAAATTACCAAAGAGTGTAGTGGTATATTTGGCTGAAGTGAGATGCATGCATCCAGTAGGGTATTGCATCTTTACAGGTCAGTTTATGTTTATAATATTGGTAGCCTTGAAATTGTGAAACAAAACACAGTTATTTTTATTTTTATTTTGGAGGTCCCATTGTAGTTCTGAAAGACTGCAACATGACAGAGAAGGCTATAATGGTCTTTGGGCATCTTGATATCTGGTCAGTTAACAATAGTAAATGATACTCTCTGCTTTTAAACCCATTACTTCTGTGAGCTATAAATTCAGAAGGTAAGAAATTGGAGTTATGCATTCATTATTGTTCATATAGTTAGATATATGAAGACATTAATTTTAATATTTTTATAATCCAATTGTTAGTTTTCAGAATTTATCTGGAATGTTTTTCTTTATTTTATAAAGCACCTTGCATTTGTTCTTGGCACTATGGTGATATTGTTGTGCTGATTGTGGGTAACCGCAGAGATTATTTCAGATTATTTTGCACTTATATTGTTTGAAAAGAAAATTACCCACTGTGCTCTGATGTTGAATTTATAAACCTACAAAGCAGTAGACTCCTCTTCTTAAATAAATTAATCAAATTGGGGCAGACAAAGAATTGACTTCCAGGTCTGCCAGCTGGTTTTGTTCAATGTTGTACATAATCACCGTTACTAACTTGGTCATTGTATGTAAGAAAACTTTAAAAATACAATATTAACTTTCAATTGATCTTTGTATTTTAATCAAGCTTTGTGTTGTTTTCCTTTTTATTTGTATTGCATTTTGTCCAATATAGAGGAGTACACACCAAGTCTTTAGAAAAAGGTTCTGTCAACTACTGCATAATTTTTGTTGATAAAAAATTCTTTGGCTGTGCATATGCCTAGGATTGATAGGTCATCACCACTTCCTTCCACATAATTTCCATCTCATTATTCATTAATCTGTCATAGACTGAACTGGTGAATGTTGTTAAAATCATAAATTTTATGAATTGGTGCATTTCCAGTTTACTATATCAAAATAACTCTTTAATTTTGTTTTACTGTGTGTCAGAAGGTGAGAGCTATTTTAAAGTATGTAACAATTGCATCTACCTTTGCTTTTAGTAAAAAGGTTTCCCGTGTATTCTGTAAGTATGATTCGCAAATATCCTAATTCTAATTTGACGTTTTTCATTAGAATGTATATAGTTGGTCACAGAGAACGGCCAGTCAAATGTGACTTTAACGAAGCGTGTTTTCTGTTCTGAGACAGCTTATTTTTCCACCATGGAAGCCGACATGACGGCTGGTTGAGAACCACTGTCTTAGAGCGTCACTGTGAGATTTATAAAATTATTCAAAGCACATGCCGAGATTTGAAGGCCAGACTGTCATAAACGTGTGCGTATGTCAAATGTGTTGTAATCAATTAGAACAGAGGTTCTCACCCTTTTTCGCTGGCATATCACTAATTATAATTTAACATATTAAATGTACCACTAACCAAATGCATTCAGAGAAAACTTATTTATGTTAATCTTTTGATTTGATTTTCTTACTTACTTCGCGTACCATATGTTGAAAAATACTGTATTATTAGGTATTTGATTGGTCACTTTACTTCACTAGACCACCAAATTATCGTAATGTCAATAACAAAAAAAAAACAATTTCACTAAAAATTTGACAAATACTAATAAGGCACCCGCGTGTAATTAACGCTCAGCATGAAATAATGTCAAGGTCAGTTTCTGTAAATACTCATAGTTGTCTATTTTACCACGTGAATGCAATACCTCTCGAGCACAGCTTAAAGTTAATTTCCAGTAGAGCCTTTAGGAACTGCGTGGTCCCGTTAGTGTGGAGCTTAAGGCTCCAGAAAGTACACGTTCTTATTAATTCGTTTCTTTGTTATAAGATTTCATAAATGTGAGAAATTGACATATTCTTTCTGAGACGATTCCTGAAACAGTACACAAGGACATATTTTTAAGCATGTTTTTCCTGATTATATTGCTTTCGTATCATATATTCTTTCTGAGACGATTCCTGAAACAGCACACAAGGAAATATTTTTAAATGAACCAAGTTTTTCCTGATTATATTGCTTTCATAGCTGGCCTTGTAATCCTGGGGTCTCGGGTTCGAATTTATAACTTGTGTTGGGCAAGTCCGTGGTCTAGGCAACACGGAGTTTCCCCGGTTTCTCCGTGGCATCCCAACAATTACTCCCTTCACACACAGAAGAAGGCAATGGCAACCCACTTCTGGATCATCTGCCAAGAACGTATATGAACAGGTCCCAGTCCGAGAAAAGGATGGAAGGATCCTGTTCATATGGACCTGTCGTCAGACAGAACACTAAATAAAAATCTTAACAACTGACAAGACAAGTGTGATTCCTCCAATGTAGTGGATTGATTTGACTGATATTTTGGTGGATAAACAGCTCGTTTCAGTTCATTAGTGTGTTATTTGAAATCCTTTATCAACTGCTGAAGTTATGTAAGATATACTGTTTGATTTATGTTACTATAGTTGTTCTACATGACAGTCAGCACATCAAATTAGACACTTGAATACTATATTTAAACCTGACGTTTTAATGTGTTTCCCCTACTCCAAACATAATTATATTTCTTATATTACCGTGTGGCTATGAATGTCTCAATATCTGACTAGCAGAAGTAGGCAAGATTATTGAATATTTCTGTAAGGATTGTTGCAGCTGCCAGTCACAAGCTTAGTAAAATTCTTTCTGGAGCGTAACTGTCTTCTTTTAGAAGCATTTGAGGTTCTCACGACGGTGAGTATGATGATGGCCTTGTGTGAACACTTACTTATCGCCCTTTGGTTGGCGGCAGGAAGTTCCTCTGAAACGTCGGTAAACTAATACCAGACTTCACGGAGCTATAACTCATAAGACAGCTATCTCTGTCCTTCTGTATTTTGAAATGTTGTTGATTACGGCTGTCTTTTCGAAAGGCGCAAAATAGTGATAAGGGCAGATTAATGATTTTTAGAACAGAAGGAACAGTCACCACTACGTGGACAACAGGTGGAAGGGTGGGGGTATTGTTTATGTTTTATCTCAAACATAACCTGTAAGCGCCCGAGCGGCGAGGTGAACGGTCACGCACAGTAGAAACGTCCAACGTTTCATTTCATTGTGTATTCAGCTTGGATTTTATTACGAATTTAAACTTTGAATTGATTTGTAATATATTTTTATCGTGGTTCACGAAGTTTGTTCACAACCAAGGATTGTCAAGTTAAATACATATGTGATTTTGTATGCGACCGACAACAAGGAAGGAAGTCTGGGTATAAGAAACACTGTCAGGGTAAGAGGTAAGAAACATTGCTAATTGTTACGTTAGTCGTACTTGTTGTTTAGTAACATGAAATATTTGATTCGTGCAGAAGCGTCAGAAATTTTTCGAAAGCATTGAAAGTGCAGGTTGGAATTCTTCTGTTTAAGCGTGAAGTGAATGTAGGACTCCTACCTGCCGCGTCATTTTAGACGGACAGACAGCAAAGTTAGGCTTCCCTACAGTTACGCGTTAGCCAGTTGTCATGGTGTAACGAAAGATGTATTCTGCCTATCACACACATATCCACTGCAACAAAAATAGTTTGTCATAAACATCCCAGAAAAAAAATGTCGTTCCGCTTTTACAGTAAGGATATTCATTATGGACATCATGACAGCAATGCTAAGCATCCTGTTGGTGCTTATTCTGTTTCTTGTGATGCGGCGTGATCCTGAGAAATCACGAATAAAGAAGATGCTGAGCAAAATTCCTGGACCACCCACCTACCCAATTCTTGGAAATGCCTGGGAACTTATTAATTTACCCTCACACCGTAAGTACATTATTACCAACATACCTTTCTTGTGTGAACATATGGTGCCCTCACGTTATTCTTTTGGAGCCGATGTTCAATAATTCTAGCAAAATGCGGACAAAGAAAGCAAAAATGTAATTTATGTTAGTGCAGTGTATTAGTTGTTTCCTTAACTTTAAACGTAGAGATTTAAATATTTTAAATTTTTAGTGTTGCATCACCGGTCATCAGGAGCCATCTTGAAAAATAGAAAACAAAAGACCAATAAAAGTAATTTCATTTTCATAATTTTGTTCCTCCTATCCTGAAATAGTCCCAACCATCGACTGATTTCAAAAGAGTTGCCGCGAAAATGGGAATGTGATGTCTTCAAAAACACCCAAAATATTCATTGCTACTAACTAACTAACTAACTAACTAGATTGCTTACCGAACCCGAAGGTTCATCACCATGTTAACCTTCGTAGTCAGTGACATTCGGTGTTACATCAGTGACAAATGGAAGCTACTATTAAATATAATCAATTATATAGATTTTCAACTTCATATTACAGTAAAAAGGAAGTGTTATCAGCCTAAAATGGTATGCAGAAATTGTTTGTTATGAAATGTGTTGAAGGTTAAAAACATAATTTAAAAATTGTTTTGATAGTAGTGACGTCATTTTCCAGTTACGTAAGCGATAATGTATTAATTCTTATTTAATTTTTTCTAATCTTTTTTCGAAAATAATAATCATAACATAAGTGATCCTATAAGTAACTGTATTCAGGCACTATAATTAGAAACCATGCAAATGCAACTTATTGATAAAAAGACTTTAAATGTTACGTCAGTGGCAATGGAATTCATGAATAATATTTTTATTCATCGGTTTAATTGTCATAAAAATTCAGTTCTTGTCTCAAGGAGAACACCACGTCTTTCCATTACAAGTATCGTTATTGGTTAATGGTCTTTAAGGAAACGGTAGCTTTTTATTCTGCGAATAATTCATCGCAAAATACATAGTTACTGAATATTAAAACAGGTGATACTGAGGCCTATAGTTACCGTTGGACTTTCAATGTTTGATCTGATATCTTCAATTCTCTCACATATAATTCCAAATCTAACAGAAATACTACAGGGGCAGTCTGAGGTGATGAAGTGGAAGTATCCGAAAATTTTGTAAATCTAATTTATTTAAACTATTTCACAAGTGACTTTTGTAAAGTCTCAAAGAGAATGCAGAGATGACACATGTATGTTCCCTTTCCCAAACCACGTAAACTACATTACTTTTAAATACTGGCCGTGGGTCCACTTTCTGTGTATAATTTTAAGTTAAGAATTTTATTTAAGATTTGAATGAAATGTATAGGCCAAATGATTAAAAGAAAGTGACCTGAGATTGAGCTGTTCTTTGTGGATATTTCGAATTGATCATGTGTTCTTACTGTTCTGTCACGTACGTAATTAGTTTTGCTGTTGCCATAATTTTGTGAACTTCAAAGTTCGTCTGAATAACAAATTACTAAATACTTACTTCGTACTTCAAAGAAAACTGAACATATCTCCATTACAGAGATCAGTTGGTTAATGCAAAAGAAATAACCACTGTTTGTTCCGAGAAAAATATGAAATCAAAAAATTCAGTGTGTGAACAAAACACATATTTGTTAAATCTTAAATCAGATGGTGGGTGATAATATACGTATTTTAAACAGCTGAAGTGGTTTAAATGGGTAAACGAATGGGACACAAACCTCGCCAGATGAAGCTGATGTCCAACTTTTGGAGCACCTTCTTTAGGGCTGGTGGTAGAAACAGTATGATTCTCTGAAACAAGGGCGCGCAACTAAGAAGCTACTCGGTGCAACATCCCTGAAGATAATCTAAATTAACATCGCTGTTAAAATATAAAATCTTACGTATAAACTACTGATTTATGAACATCCGTTTTATTGTCGCAGGTTATATGGACGTTTTATCGAAATACAGCAATGACTACGGGCCCATATTTTGTACCTGGATCGGGACCAAAGGGATCGTCAGTCTCAACACTGCTGAGACAGCTGAGGTAACAGTTACAATTACTCAGGTTTATGTGTCTTGTAGATCGTCGCCAACAATTCGTAGGAACGTTTTCCTACCGTCTTTACTCGAACCCTGAAGAAAGAGACTGTACGTTTCTACAAAACGCTGATCACCACCCACATGACTAGACGATATCGCAGCCCGGAAGAAATGAATAAAAAATGTATGTCAAAGAACGCAGTGAAATTGAATGAACTAGCATAAAGATGGACATACTCCCAGCAGCACATTTTTTGTGGATACCGTGTTGAGTATGTTTCGTAGTTCTTAATGAATGCATCAGTAATCTGGTGTCATCATTTAAGAATGTTCTACATCGGAAGTTTACATACCTACTAGCAGAGTGCACACATTATTACTGCGAGGAAATTGACTACGCACTGCCACGCTTGTCGGCGTACGAACGTCGTATCATATGCATTCCCGAAGCTCATTTTTGCTGTACATTGAATTTTGAGTTGGCGTCGTTACGATAGGTGTTGCAACACTCGACGTCGGTATATAAAGTGCACTTACACTATATCGTTCAAAGCTACCAGAACAAGTAATTTTTAACGTAAGTTTTACAATTGACATTTAGCCCAGAGCTCACCACTAACCCAACAGTTTGGTCCTGTTTTTTCACCCTGCCTTACTCTATGTTTGAAACCTGCATTGGCCTTGAAACCAACAGATCTCGTGTAAAACAGCCAAAACCAGACATTCACATCTCATTAATCCATGTTTTCTACCAGCACAAAGTGACCAAATAATACCAGAGGACATAATGATCCATGTGGCTGCAGCCAGCAGTAATTGAAGACCAGATTCAGATTTCTGAAGGTATCACCTGATGGCGTGTACCTTCCTGTCGGCCCTGTTGTAATAAAGTGGCTTCCAATCTTTGCAGTGCTCACCTGCTATAAAGAAATGGTGCCTGATGCCTGGCTTGGATGGTTATATATGTATTTTCATTTACATAACCTAATTTCTTGGTACTATGGCAGGTTATCCTGAGCAGCAATGAACATATCGATAAGAATGAGATGTATTCAGAATTGTCACCATGGCTTGGAGACTGTCTGTTCTTGAAACAAGGTAATGTGTGAATTCGGTACTGGGCTTGTATACTGGGGAAGTCTCTCATTACTTCAGTGGAGTAGCACCTTAGTGTCTACATCACAAATTTCCTCGTCCACAATTTTCTTATAACCGTTAGTAGGATATCAAAAACATGATTTTTTGGTCGTGCAGAATAGCACAACCTCCATATCAAATTTCATCCAAATGCATTCAGTGGTTCTCGAGTTGAAGTGAGAAGTTCTGCTAATATATCCATTAATATGTGTATATAGTATTAGATAGTTAAAAGCTTTTGAAGTTTTAAATTTTACGAAATGGAAACGAATTTAGTATTTGCATTGGACATATAATAATCTATATACAAGGTTGAAGATCGGTTTGTTAATGACTGCTGTTTATTTTGAAAATCATACAACAAACGTATAAATACTCTCTGTGGGCAAAGTGAAAATGTATTATTGCTAAAGTATGTGGTACATACAGCAAACACTGGAATCTAAAGGATTTAATTTATTGATTTTAGGACAGTAAATTTTCTTCTGCAATAAATTATGCAAACAGTAATAATGCTAGCTACACACAATAAAATCTTATGGAAAATTGAACTGTACTACAATTTCTAAATAGTTTGATCTTTAAAACTCACCAACTGATCAAAGGAATCGCAAATACTCCTGTACTACATACGAAGTTTAAGGTCTTAAAAACAGATTATAATAAGATTTTATCATAATTTAATAATATAAGTATTGCAAAATACAAATAACATTGCATTTCTTTACTTTCCAGGACAGAAGTGGCGTGCAACTCGTAAATTGTTTTCATCAATATTCAGTTCCACCATTCTAGACAATTATTTACAAGTCTTCACAAAAAATACAGAAATCCTTACACAGAAATTCATGGCCAAAATTGATGGAGGCGAATTTGATGTTTGTCCTTATTTAGCACGTTTCACATTGGATGTTGTATGTGGTGAGTTTATTACTTTGTATCCAAGGCACAAATAATTTTAAGCCATTTTTTTGACATGGCAGTCAAGTCATGAATCACCGAGTTACTTTGGTAGAATTTGATAAGCTGTGCCATGAAATTTCAAGTATTGGCATGGAAAATGTTTTGTAACTCATCACGGAAAGTCCCAACTCACTTTCTTGAAGGAAAGATTCAGGCATATTTCTTGTCTTAGCAGTAAAAATGAATATGTGATTATTTAGAAGAATTATTTATTCATCATAAATAATGGTACAGTTTGGGAGGTCTGGGGATATCCCCCCCCCCCCCCCCCCCCCCGCCCCCCC